ATTTATATGAGGCTATTTAACATTGTTCATGATCAATATTAATAAACTGTTCGTAAAAATATTTTTAGCTGTAACTTTTGAAATTTCTACACATTAAAAGATCTATTCATTAAATTTAATCGAAAAGTTTTAAAACTGAAAAAGCCTGAAATTTAAATTCAATATAAATTCCAATTTTTTTCTCTTGTTTCAGATGCACAGAATTGATGACAGAAACGAACATATCGAAGAAGTATAAAGAAATATTGAAGCGTACCAAGCAGATACAAAATGATTGTGAGAAAAAGATTATGGCAACGTTACAGTCACTTCATTCTGCCTTCACACTTTTTTCCTGATAATCAAAAAATACTGGTGATTGCTTGCAACTGCGAGCAGGTAATCCAAGAAAAGGCACAAGATAAATTGATAAGCAGAGATAATTCCATTATGAGATCAAATTAGTGATTTTACACTTGTTCATATGAGATCAAATTGATGATTTTACAGTTGCTGTCAGAAAAACTCTCATTTTCGGATTATAAAAATGTACCATTCACTTTGCATCGCAATAATGAATTAAGTTAATAAACTGAATATCTAATACATAGGATAAGAATATTGGTTGATAAGAATAAAATGTTAATAGGATTATATATATATATATATATATATATCGGTTAAGAATATTGGGTGATAAACATAAGTGTGATAATAAGACTTGCATATAAAAGTCAAGAATATTGGATGATAAGATAAATGTGATCATAGCGATCGAATTGTGTTGTGATAATTGAGTGTTGGAAATAATGGTAGAAATTATTGATTCAATAGAAACTGAAAAAGTGAACTGAAATTGTTAATTGTTAAGATATTTGCGCCAAACTTTGGAAGGAGTATAATATGCTATGTATAAGGAAAAGATATGATAGAATTGACAGCTCAATTGTCTCCATGTTTCCTACAATTATATAAAAGTTTGAAATATGCACCCGTTGTTGGTACCAGATTGAAACTTCTTTAAAATTTACTTCAACCTTTCTTTCAGTAGAAAAATTTTGATTGCCAATTATGTCATTCTAAAGAAACTATTAGTAAAAGTTTATTCAAAAGAAATGATTTAAAATAAAAAAAATCCTACCATTAAAGAATTACTAACGATACTGACTAACTAAATTAAGAATTTTCAGCAAAATCTTCTAATACATGTTAGGATGAAATTCCCCGTGCACATCCAAATGTTTCAAATGGAAGAAATTCAGAAAGAGGAAACAAAACGTATAGAAATCCATTCAATTTTCTACACTGAAAAACTATTTTAGACTATCAGAATTGATGAACTTAGTAAGTTTTCATTTTAGCAAAATTTAATTGTTGGAAGGAAAAGTTTTCGGTGAATTTGAAACAGGCAACATTGTTTTCGGTTACGTATTGACATGTTGGCTATTTAAGGAATATTTTTATTTAAAAAAAAAACTTTAAAAAAAACCAAAAATAACATTAAAGATATAACATGAGATAGAATCAGTACGATTACATATATAAATAATGAAGAACAAATTTAGGAATAATAAATTAGTTAACATGCTGTCTAGATATTTAGAAGCATTAAATAAATAAACAAACAATTTAATTAATGCCCAAATAATGTTCTCGTGGGTACATAATACCTAAATTAATCTACTCTTTCATTTTACTAGACATTTTTCGAATGGCATTTCAAGGTTAATAGGATCAAAAGTATCTATGAGATATTCAGATGAGACAAAGAAGCTTCTATGATGGTACAGTTAGGAAGATCTGTTCAGAAATGGATATTTCAAAATCTCAAAATGTGATTCGATCAATATCCATTCAATTTGCAGCTAAGAAGTAAAATGGAAATGATATGTCAAGCATATTTTCGCTTAATTTCATAAACATTGAACAGCTTACTTCTGTCAATTTTACTTGGACATCCAACTTGGTGAAAGGATACTAACTGAGAGAACACTGTCCGTATAAATTGATGGTGAAAATACATTCGGTGATAAAATCTGACCACCTAATGCTTGTGGTGAGAGAATATCGGGACTAAGAATGTATGGACTGAGAACTAGTGGACTTAACACATATGGATTGATAACATTTGGTGATAAAATATAGGGAGATAATATATATGGTGCACCAACAAGTGGTGATAAGACATAAGGAGAAAGTATATATGGTGAGATGAGAAAGGGAAGAAAGATGCCTGGAGAAAGGACATATGGGTTAAGAATAGACGGATTGAGAATCAATGGACTGAAAATGCTAGGTGAGAGAACCACAGGTCCTAAAATACTTAGGCCAAAAGTCGGCGAAAACATGAATGGTGCCAGAATGGTTGGTTTAAATGTTAATTTTGCTTGGCGTTTCCTTCGATGCAGTTCCTAAAAATGACATTTTTAAATGAAAATTTCAAATTATTTATCAACTTTCTGGAAATGTAAAGTGAGCTAGCAGAGTGAGCTTTTATACTACTTTATACTCAATTGCTTCTGCATTATTCTACGCTATCAATATATTTAGTTTGATGTGTAAGTTTACTAAATTCTTTTTTCTTCAATCCCAAATTTTAATTTTTCAATTCTAATTTATAATTGTTGACTTGATAAATTTTCACTTTCATCTTTTGACATCAGCAGAATTTTTTCTGCTTTTTTCCCATCTCATTTCTAATTTTTTATACTTATCTAAGTTGTAATTTTTGCTTTATTGCATATTTTCAACATTTCTGTCAGATGATGCAGATTTATTAACTTTGGTTAGTGAAACTGATGGGATGAAGTTTTTTAACGACTGATTTTTATTAACATTATCAGTGTTGAAATTGCATTTACCTACCATTGCCTGCATGTATAATCTCGCAGTTTTTAACCTTTTGTTATCAGATACAAGTGATCATTTCGAAAGATATCAAAAAATGTAAGATAATAAAGCTCCATTCAAATTTTTGATTTTTTAAACAATAATGTTTTACATAATCGAATTGAAATACTTTTCAAATTTAAGCAACTTTGTGCTTCCACTCTTCCTTACACTTTAATACATTTCACATTCATTAATATATTCAACCATTCTCGAAGGAAATAGGTAAATGTAAACCTCAGTTTCATTCTCCGCAATTCGTTCAATATGCGTCCATAATGTTTCTTCTTTCTCCGTCCTATTTAATTGTTCATACTTCTTCAAATCGAAATTTACATCTTCCAACTTCTTAACACCTATAACAAATTTTTCTTCTCCTCAAATTTATCAATTATCAGAACGTTATATGATTGGTGAAAAGCGAAATACCTTGCTGATGAAATATTTGTTTGAGTTGTGATGCTTCCAAAAATGTAAACCCTTTCCTTTCTAAATCATTCTGTTGCTCAACATTGAACGATTTTTCCAAATCTTTGAATGATTGATTAATTCGTTTTGTTGTCTGTAAATTATTTAAATAAGTATTACACATTTTTTTCCCTGTCAATTTCATCAATTAAATGAGAATAAAAATTATTTTTATTTACGATTTAAATTATTTGGAAATTCTGGAATTTTCATCTATACAGGTTTAATTTCTTGGTGCTTCTCGTGCTAATTTGTATAGAATTTGTGCCAACCTCAAAGATTACACCTTCCAAATTGGAAACATTTGTTTCGTTAAGAATATCAAATGCCATTTCAATGGCAACACGCGCACCTGAAACATCCATTATCATCTCCAGTACCGCTTTTCGATCTTCCTCCGTCATACCACTTTTTTCCAATAGCTGAAACAATCAATCAAATATTCACAATGCATTATGTTGATTAAGCATCAAAATTTTCAAAAAATTACCAACATTTAAACTTACAAATGTTGAGGATTTAAATTTTGAAGATAGATTTTACATTTTGGAATTGAGATTAAAATTGGAAGTTTCTAAAAATTGAGCAGTTAAAATGAATGAGGAAAATATTAACTTTAGGAAAGGGAATAATGTTATCTGGGTTATCATCCTTGTAAAATGACATGATGGAAGGCGATAAAATACGTTTTTCGAATTGCATCTGAAAATTAGTCTATATTAATCGAAATTATGTAAAAAAAATGAAAGTTAACAATCCATAATTTAATGACTTGTTTTATTCTTAAAAAATCAAAGAACAACCTTATCAGGCATTAAAGGCATTACTCGTGGACTCAAAAATCGGAAATTCAATTGCTCATTTTTGCTATTTCGGTTAATTCCATTCACAAAATCGATTATCATCGAGATCAAATCCTTATATTTCGACTAAAAATATGTACTGTAACATCTTCATGTATTCTGTTTATTTTTTTTTAATCTCAAATATTTTATTTATTCCAATTTGCAATATCAAACGGGAAACTAAACAAAAATTTCTGGAACTAATGTCTTTCACAATCTTCAAGAAATTCATAATATTTTATATCATTGGAAACATTCATACTTTTTGTTGAAATATTGCTAGCACTGTTATCTCTCTTTTAACTCTTCCTAAGAAACTCAAACAGATATGCAAAATACTTAAACCTTTGGTCTGGTACGTTTTTCATTATCGAGCACAAGGTCAAAAAGTCGAAGAGTGTAAACTCTTGTATTACTTGATCCAAAGTGTTGATCCATTTGTTTTTTGAACTCCATTATATGTTCGTAAGTTTTTGTCCAATTGCCATTTGCTTCTTTACCGCTCACCATAACACTAATAAATTTGGACAGCTGAATTTAAACGATGTCATTTCAGTAAATTCAAATTTGTCAGATGACAGTTATACTGTAATCTCATCAATTATCAATATTTCCCATCATGCA